ATCTCTTAGCATAGTCGCCATGATAACTGCTCCACAGATTATTCATTTAATTAAAAAAAAATTTCCAAAAAAGCTGTTTACAAAACGCACTAACCAAACAGCTAAACTGTTTATTCAGAACAGGGGCAGAATGATCAATTTTTCAGAATCAGTTGTTTTCCATAAGCGTCAACCAAACAGCCAGACAGCTTATCCGGATCAGCTGATCATCAGCAGATTATCAAGATAAACTGCTTATCAGCAGAAGCTGGATAAGCTGCAGCTGCAACAGACCCTAAGTTGGGAGCTTATGATATTCACACTTGACATTGTAGAAAAAAAGAGAACTCATTGTTATTCTTATAGTAAAGGCAACCCTATTTTTTTCTTCCGAAACCCTAGAAGCCCTACCCAGAATCAAACGTTTGGAACATTTTCGAAGGGGATGGAGGAGGGGGCTCAAGAAGGAGAGACTAACAGAGAGGTAGGGGCTGCTCCGGCATTAATCTCAGTGCATCCTCTCGAGCAATCCATCGTACTTGCGGTCGGATATGAACTGCGCGTATTTGATTTAGAGTAAGGTTTCTTTACGTCACGAGCATGCAATTTTGGGCTCTGGTTAAAAATCATTCCTTTTTCAATATTCTTAGGGATTTTTTTCTCGTGAAGAAGTCGGATTAATAATATCAGTTTGCTCATCTTATCCATGTAAATAATAATAATAATAATAGTAATAATATAAAGAAATCATCACATTTGAGGGATTTTGAAGGCGTGTGTAGAGTCTTGTTGCGGGTGAAAAGTCGAGTTGGTGCAGAGATATCTAAAGATTTAACTTTAAAGACATTGTGCGCATCATCAGGATTGTTTAGGGGCATAACTGTTTAACGTCAAAAAATTAGAAAGAAACAAAAATGCAAGGTATAGTTCACTTGAAACAAAATTTTCGGTACTAAATATGAGCTTTGTAGGTCCTTTTTTGAACTCCGAGAAAGTATTAGTGCAGTGGAATTGAAGGCTATTGCATGTGTCCTATAAAGGTTGAATACCGAGGCAATTCCTTTGTGCCTTAGAAAAGAGAAAATTGTTTTTTTTTCAATTTCACTTTTCTTATGTTTTGAATTTGCAAACAGGATGGATTGCGCTGTTTCATTAACTGATGAAGCCTGTAGTCCTTCGCATTCTGATTCTATCAGGGCAATCTGCTTTGGTGCAAATGGAAAACTCTTTGTTTCTGCTGGCGACGATAAGTTGGTGAAGATCTGGAGAACAGATACTTGGCACTGTATCAGAACTGTGTGAGCTTGTTGTTTTATCACTCTTATGCATCACTTTCACAAGTCCATTATGCATTTTTTCCTTTTAAGTATATGTGTTGCACTTAAGAAAATATGTATGCATATGAAAGCAACAGTTGGTTTGCACTTAAAGTCGACACCAAATATTTAGGATAAGGCTTTTGACGATGATGATGTTGAAAAATTCAAACATTTAAATGAGACTCGTACATTCACTTTCCATGCAAAATGGGTCGCCCTTCCTTCTTCTTTTTTTCCCTGAATCATCCTACTATTTTGGCTATGTGCTTCGTGCTCCAAATTGAATTTAAGACTCATCTTATTCTGTCATCTTTCTTAGTCTTTGTAATAATCATTGGTTTAGATTGTGATTTGCATCTAATTGTTGCTCTCTGCATCTCTTAAAAGGTGCCATACTATTTTCTTAATTCCATACAGTTAGGCCTTTTTTCAATTTTCTCAATAAATTTCCAATCTATCAAATCATTTTCAATAGATAAACCAAGGAATGACTAAACAAGTCAAAGTTAATTCTACAGGTGTTCTGACAAACGTGTGAGTGCAGTTGCTATAAGCCATGATGGGTTGTTCGTTACCTTTGCTGATAAGTTTGGAGTTGTTTGGATAGTGGGATTGGAGGAAGATGTTCAAGGTCAAGAATCAGCTAATAAAAAGGCTGTCCCACTTCTGGGCCATTACTGTAGCATCATTACTAGTCTGGTGCGCAATTACATTGCTTACTAATGTACCATATCACTTCTAAGCTGGGAGAAATGTTATTTCTTTCTATTATAAATTGAAACTTGGCTTTGTTATATTTAAGTTGAGGTATGGTGCAGTATAGATTTTGATTTACACTTTGGAAGCTAAATCTTGGGATTCAAATATTTTTACAGACTAATGCTAAACCGCAGTGTCTCAATTTACAAGGTTCCAATATTTTTACATGCTTAGCTCTTAAAAGATTTCCTAAGGTTTTATTAATTACTTTTGTTTGGTCATTCTTTTGTGAATTAAAGCCATGAAAATTTTAATTGAGTTCCAAAAGCTTTCCAAATAGCTTTTAGAAGATACAAAATTTAAATTTCTATCAAATAGTAAATGGATAGCAAACCATGTAGTCTAATACTTGTTTTGAAAATTTAGTTTGTAAGATGTGAAACATCATTAATTTTTGAACCGGGAAGAAACTGAGCTAACTTGGACAAAATAAATATACTATCTTGTTTCTTGGGGTTTATAGGCCTAGCTATGACAAAATTCATTGAAATTGCTTCCAAAAGTATTTAAGGGTGGTACAATCCTAGAATGTTGTTCTGTTGTATGTGCTTTATTATATGTATAATGATGTGAAATAACTCTCTCAACATCTCTTTTCAGTAAAAACCAATAAAGTCTATCTTCATCAAGTTTATTTTATTTATCCTTTCCAAAATGTTCTTGTAAAATTCAGAAATCAATTAGTTTCTTAATAAAGTTTTTGACAAAGTTGTTTATCATAATAAAGATAGAACATAGTCTACTAACAAAAAGAGGCTCTGGTCTGAAGACTGAAACTCAAGAAAATTGGTTAATCTTGCTTTATTTAGCAATGATTTCAAGACTTGTGGAGCTTCTAATAGTACACTTATTTGTGCTGAAATTATTTTCTTATGCCAAAATTTTGTGCTCTCTTGTCAGATAAGATATGTGAACTAGATTAATCTTCTTAGCTGGGTAGATAAATAATCAAGTTTTCAGGTAATGTTTGTAGTAAAGTAAATTTGAATAGATAAGCAAATCAAGGAAGAGACAATGTAACAATAACTCTATAAGTTAATGCATGTTTAATTGGAAAGGTAATGGCCAATTCTATGTGTGATAACTCACCACTCTCATCTTGCTTGGAATGTATACAAGGACTTATGAGGTAGCTGTTGAATCAGACTACATTGATTTCTTCCGTAGCTTTGTGATGACTTTATGCTGATTTGAACAAGTTTTTTCTTTTGCATTGCGATCAGTGGTTTCTGACAATTTGATTAATGAGGATAGTGATTCTGAAGCATCTTATTCTCAAAGTTGCCTCTGTCTGACAGAAAAGGGAAAGCCTTCTGCCTATTTTCTATGTATCATTTTATTCAAATAGAGAAAAATGGTTGTGCATAGATTTGGGAGATAGGAAAGTACTAGTTTCTCCTGTAAGATTTTTATTTTGAACTGATTTAAGATTTGTGAGCAGTTTGTATGGACAATGCCTTCGAAGCCTGCAAAACACTAGAGATTTAATAGTAAAATAGTGTTACATACATGAATGCACTTCTTGTGCACTTCTTGCTCTGATAAGCTAGCAGAAGTGAAAAGAAATGCCATAAATTTTGTTCATTTTTCTGAGAATGAAAAATCTTCTAGATTAGCACTGAACAATACACGGGCATAGGTAAATTTATTCTAATCCCTAATATATTTTGAATGCCAGCCTGCTTAGTATTATAAAAGTAAAATATCATAGAAGTGAACTGCTTCCACATTTTTTTTTCCTTCAAAATATGCTCTCAATTTTATAACAATAAGATACTTTATTTCAAATGGTGTCCTTAATCCTCTTATCCAGTTAAGCAAAAAAAAAAGTTTCAGAGCATATGGACAAAAAATTGCACTAAAACGTGGAAATGTAGTTGCTCTTCATAATGGTAGTTGATGTAATGTCTTTAAAGCAATATTTGCTGTTGCTTAATTTTTCTTTCTTATAATTTTAGAAATTAATGGTTGTTAGGCTGAAGTTTCACATTAATAATCTGTTTCTTTTGTCTTTTCCCTTGTTGATGGATGTTCTTTAAATGTGAAGGCTTTTTTTTCTCAAACATGCAGAAATTTTCTCCAGATGGACAGTTCATTGCCACTGCAGACCGAGACTTCAAAATCCGGGTATTTAAATTAGTTATTCCTTGAATCTAACCATTATCGCAAAAAAGTTCATTATTTTCTTATTTTCTACGGTTATTGCTTTTGCTTGGGCTCTTTCCGTATGCAGATTTCTGTTTTCCCAAAAGAGCATCTAAAAGGAGCACATGAAATTCAAAATTTCTGCCTTGGTCATACTGAGTGAGTTGAAATAATACGCTTGCAGACTTTCATTTTTTGTGATTTTATTCTGTTTCTAGTCTTTCCATTGAATTTGAATTGTGAATTACGGTTGGATTATTTTAGTGGCTGAAGTCATCGAAGTAAGATGCATATATTCAGCATAATTTTCCTAAAGTAGTCATCTTGCGGGACTTTATTCTGTTTCTGTATTTTAATGCAGGCCAACGCTGTAAAATTTTATCACGATTAGTTTTTAATTGAAGCTTTGGGAAAAAATTGTGAATATAAAAATGCAATATAATTTTATTGAGTTTTTTAAAAAATTTTGGTATCAAGTAGCTAATAATGTTACTTGTTAGATGCTGGGTCATTCTTAGAAAACATTCTTTCAATAAGTGATTACTTTTTCTTAGTTATCTGATGACCTGATTTTACTTCCCTTTGTAAGAAAAACATTGATTCTCTTAGCGTGAAATATGGCATGTAAATTTTTATATTAATTTATCCATTTAAGTGATGGGGGGG